ATTATCTTATTTTTTAAGACAAATACAAATGTTTTATTTAATACTTGCAGGTCGTCCAGCGGCTGGGTGGTGGAGAGCTAAGGCCCAGCAGCAAGGTCAGCGCAGCCTCTGAGCCTCTGCGTCAGCATGTCACCCCCTCTGACGGGGCCTTTGATGTTTCGGATGATAGAGCGTCCGGTGTCATCCACAAACCACACACACAGCTGTGCGCAGTCTCCATGCAGACTGGTTCTGCCCAGCACTGTGGTTATGCCAGCCAGCTTGAGGGGCTGCATGTGACATGTGTCCATGATGGCGGCCTCCTGACAGAGTTATAGTTATTTATTTATTTGTTGTTTTATCAAGACAAGGTTTCTCTATGTAGCCCTGGCTGTCCTAGAACTCACTCTAGACCAGACTGGCCTCAAACTCACAGAGATCCACCTGCCTCTGCCTCCCAAGTGCTCACTTTATTTTTAAAAAAAATGCCAGGTGGTGGTGGTACAGCTTTAATCCCTTGGCACTTGGGAGGCAGAGGCAGGCTGGTCTTGACAGTGTGAATATTAGGACAGCCAAGGCTACACAGAGACACCCTGTCTCCCTCTTCACACACACACACACACACACACACACACACACACACACATACACACACATACACACTCCTCCCTCTCTCAAATACCTATATGAATTATTTGAGAACTCCATAGAACATGTTTTGATCATATTCCTACTTCCATCTTCCATTTCCCTATCCCCAAACTTCATACCCTGTTAAAAAAGAAAAAAACACAACACCAAGTCCAGATTTGTGCTGCCCGTATGTTTTTGGATGTGGGGCCATCCGTTGTAGCTTCCAGCCCACAGGGACCATGCCCTCGAAGAAAACTTCTCCCAGAAGCCATCAGCTGTCAGTCGCTTCTCAGCGAGGGGCTCATGCAGTTCTTCCTTCTCCTCGCTGGCTGCAGTGTGGACAGACTTGATCCGGTGCAGGCATGCGCAGACGCTGTGAGTTTATGCGCGCAGGGGTCTGGTCACGTCTGGAAGACACCGTTCTGCGCTGGCTCTGACTCCTTCCTCTGAGATAGGTGACCAGCACCTTGTGTCATGACCAACAAGGAAATGAAGAAATTTGTTTTTCATTTGAGGTTCTAGGGGTGGTACCCAGGGCCCTGTGCCCGCCATGGAAGGATTCTCCCAGTGGGACTCCCAGGCAGGAATGGGTTCTGCAAAGCTGTTTCATCTTGGATCTTTAGGGTTGGGGGTGTAACTGGTGGAGTGCCTGCTTCACATGCCTGAGGCCCAAAGTTCAACCCCCACTACTACAAAAGAAAATTCATCTTAGATTTTTGCACCGATCAAAGGTGCAGGTTATTGCGGGTACTTTCATCTTAAGCTGAAGAGAATTTCGTCATTTCCCGTTAGAGTAAACTGGGTTTTGAGCACCCTGAGGGTCCCTGGCAGTAAGTACCGGAATCCTAACTTGCAACATTCTGCCCACTATTCACGTAGTCTCTTCTACTGGAACCGGATGACCTGCCCAGTTACTTTCCTTCCTTGTGTGCTTAAACCCTCCTTCTATACAGAACTCTTTCTCACGGAGGGTCCTTTGGCCCCTGAGTTCGTGTCATCCCTTGGTCCGACTGAAAGGGAAAAAAAGCTGTCCCTTGGTAACCCTCTGAGCACTGAGTCCTCTCCTATCTTCCTGGGGAAGTCCTGTGCCAAGGATACAGATCCCCTGCTGAGAGGAGCCAGAGCGATAAACAGGCTCATCACCGCTTCAGTGCGCAGGAATTGCCTGGAAGCTCTATAAAGTTCGGGCCTTCCTCAAGGAAACCAGCAGTTTTCCACAACACCTAGCATCTACAGATTCCCAGAATAGCCAAGTCTAGCGCCAAAACCTGTCGTTCCAGTGCTAGAGGCGGAGACCCTGGGTTCAAAGACAACTGGAGCCTCATAGACAGAATCTATCTCAAAACCCAAACCAACCAAACAGAAAGACTAGCGTGCCCCCTGCTGCTCAGAACAAAAGGTATCTACTGAGAAGCATCTTCTTTTGTTTTTCTGATTAAACATAGTTGTCTCTTGGGATCTTGGGATTGCTTCCACTACCTTTGTGGTTGCTAAAATCTTTCAGTGCTCCAAGACCCTTATGTAAAGTGGCACAACATTTGCATACAACCTGAGTACAAGTTCCCATAAGCTTCAACCAACTCCAGATTGCTTATTGTCTCAATGTAACCTACTTATATAAATATAATTTACAATGTAAACAGCACTTAGGATAAGTGTTGCTCTGCTGTGTTGTTTAGGGACCAATTTTTACAGTGTGATTGTTTTTGAATCCATGAATGTGGAGCTCATAGGGGCAGAGGCTGAATGGTTGGCCCATCATCTCAAAGCACAATTTATTCTTTAGGCAGAGGCAGGCAGACCTCTGATTTTAAGGCCAGCATGATCTACAGAGTGAGTTCCAGGATAGCCAAGGCTATACAGAGAAACCTTGTCTCAAAAAATAAACAAAACAAACAAACAAAAACCTGAAAAAGAAAGAGGAGATTGTGTGATCAGGTCAATTCACTTTCAAATTTGAGAATTGCCTACACTAAAAGAAGTTGGCACAGGCTGTGGTGGCAGTGTTGAATCGTTTAGTCCCAGCACTTGGGAGGCAGAGGCAGAGGCAGGTGGATCTCTCTGAGTTGGTTTACATAGTGAGTTCCAGGCCAGGGCTACACAGTGAGACCCTGACACACACACACACACACACACACACACACACACACACACACACACACACACACACGGGGGGAGAGAGAGAGAGAGAGAGAGAGACGTGATTAAAAAAACAGTTGTATCGGGAAGTGGTGGCACACACCTGTAACCCCAGCACTTGGGAGGCAGAGGGAGGTGGATCTCTGTCAGTTCGAAGCCAGCCTGGTCTACAAAGCAAGTCCAGGACAGCCAAGGCTACACAGAGAAACCCTTTCTCAAAACAAAACAAAACAAAACAAAACAAAACAAAACAAAACAAAACACTTAGGGCTGGACAGTTGGTTCTGTGCTTAAGAGCAGAGGACCTGAGTGTGGTTCAAGCGCCCATACCCTGAGGTGCCCAGTAGCCTGTAACTCCAGCTCCAGGGGCTCTGACACCTTCTTATGACTTTCTCGGCTACTGCACTCATGTGCAAATCTACACACACGCGCGCGCACACGCGCACACACACGTTAAATACATTAATAAAGTTATTTCTTAAAATTTTTAAAAGAAGGGAGTTGCTCGCTGCTAGCTGTAGACGGCCATAACTTGTGGGTTGTCTCCTATTTTTCCTTTCATTCCGTCTCCATTTCTGGACTCTATTTCTTCCCCATGGCACTCAGTGGACAAACCGGAGGTTAGAAAAGGGGCAACGGAGGAGTCACAGGACAGGCGTAGCTCGGGTTACACTGGACAGCCTTTTATCTCTGTTGTTTCCCCCCAGCGTGGCTCTTTTGAAGACCGGGGTGACTTCAGTCCGTATTTGCATAATCTTCCACTTCGAAAGTTCATCAACCGTGTATGTCCTTACACGGTACGATTTTCTAACTTTGGGAATTTCTTTCCTCAATTTGCAAATCAAAGAAGGCCCAACAAAACCATCAAAGCAAAAGCGTATGAGAAAGAAAACAACCAGTGGCTTCATTTAGTTTCCTCAAAGCACGGTCAAGCTTCCCTGTCCCTCCGAACCAGCAGGGCCTGCGAGCTACAGGTTCTGCTAGGCGCCTGCCACTAATCCTCCCTCCGGACCCTCCAGAGCACCACACCCTGGTGGTTCTGTACGTAGCCTAGGCTAGCCTCCGAGGCGAGTCTGCTGCCCCAGCACCCCAGGGGACACCACACCCTGCTGTGGCTGACTTTATCTCACACTCCTCCGTGGGGTTACTTCATGCTAAAAAGAAGTTGGCAGAGACTCCTGTAACTTTTGAGTAGGCAGAAAACATGACAGAGGGAGGAGGGAAGGATGCAAGAAAGGAAAGGAGGGAGGGAGAGAGGGAGGGAGGAAGGGAGGATGGGCACCAGAAGTGTCTAAACTGTTCAGAAGTAAAGACAAGACACTGGTATAATAATAAATGGCCTTTAAAAAAGTTTGCCTGCACGTGGGTGAGGTTGAGGACGTCCTATGTGCTCCTCTCAATCTCTCTGTCTCCCTCTGTTTCCTTCTCTGTCTCTCTGTCTCTCTCTCTGAAACAGGGTCTGTCCGTGAACCTGCAGCCCCAGGGATCCTCCTGTCTCCACCTCCTCAGTACTGGGATCACAGTTTTGCGACACCCTGATAACCTTTTAGGTGGGTACGAGGGGATCCAAACTCATGATGTCTACCCAGCATTTTGCCGACCGAACCACCTGCCTTTAACACCGACAAAAAGAGCAGGACGCCGCCTCTCAAACACCGGAGCAGCATAGGACGAGCTGCGGGGGCGCCCACCGTCCAGCGGCAGCGCGCGCATTAGCTCAAGGCGCGGCGCAAAACGCGCTGGCTGCGCTCGGACCAGCTCGCGCGCCCTCAACTTTCTCCCAAGTCCTTAAGGGTTGTTGGGGAGACGGCGGTGTGGCCTCAGAGGAAGAAAACCAAGCCGAGGCCCCCTGCCTAGGTCCCCCGGGGGAACTAACTGTTGGAGCGGTCCCGGGCTCCTGGCCGTAGGGCGGCCCCGGGGAGGGAGGTGGTGACCGCCCCAGGCTCGCTGCACTTCCGGAGGGGCTGGGGGCGCGCGGCTTGGAAGGTGAGAGGCGGAGCTGCCGGCGGCTGGGAAGAGACCAAAGGGATGAGTAATTGGAAATTCTGTAACCGAGACCCCGGGTCCTAACCCTCTGCCTCCTTCACCCCGCTCCCCCGCTCTCCCCCCCGAGCCCCCTGCCGAGAGGCGAAGGGCGAGAAGTGGCGCCGGGAAGGGTCACGTTTCGGAGAGGGAAGTGAAATAAAGAGGGCGGCACCCGGGGGGACCTGTGCGTCATTGAGGGACTGCGGAGCGGCCAGTGCGGAGGCGTGGGGGCCAGGAGCCGGAGGGGCCTCCGAGCGTCCCAGCTCGCTGCCCGTTCCCGCGACCCCGCAGCCCGCAACCTTGGGGGGGAGGCGCACGATGTGGCAGGCGACCCCGCCCCGACCCCGCGCGCCCTGCCGCTGGGCGCCGGCCCTGCTGGTCCTCCTGGCCCTGCTGGGCGGCTCGGGGTTGTGCCACGCGAGCTCGCAGGCCGGGTACCACGCGCGGCCCAGCGCCAGGAACAAGTAAGTGCGCCCCCCTTCTGCTCCCCACCCCCACCCCAAGCCCTAGAGTCCCGGGTCCCCGCAGGTCCCTCCTGAATCCACTCGCGGGCTCCGGAGCCGCGCTGCCAATGGCGACGGTGGGCGGCAGGAAGATCCCCGTGGGCTTTGGGGGCGTCGCCGCCCCCGGCTGACACCTCGGGCATCCTGCAGCGGACCCCGGGCAGTGGGGTGGGGTCCGGCAGAGCTACGTCCCGGAGCCCGCAGGCTGCGGGGCTCTGCTAAGTGGCGCCCTGGGGTGGCCGCTTTGGCAAGCTCCAGCCTTCGATGATGCCGGTGTCCCGGCAACTTGGTGGGTCACCTCGCTCCCCCCTCCTCCGCGTTGTGCCCCAAGTTTACCCAGCTCTTCTCTTTTTACCCCAGGAACTGGTGCGCCTTCATCGTGAGTAAGAACGTGAGCTGCACAGTGCAGGAGGGAAGCGAGAGTTTTATTCAGGCTCAGTACAACTGTCCCTGGAGCCAGATGCCCTGTCCGTCCGCTCTGGTGTAAGTCGGGAGGGGGTGGGGGAGGCACGAGGGCCGAAGGGGTGGGAGGCTTGGAATGTTCCTGCCCTCGTGGAAATCTCTTTCAGACCCTCTGCAAAGTCTGAGAGCTGCGCGGCTGCCGGCCACGCCGGGCTATTTAAAAGAGGGTGCTCTTCTGCGAGAACCTGGAGGATGCGCAGAATTTGGGAGTTAATGACTCCCTAGGCCACAGTAGAGGATGAACAAAGCCCTCGCCCCCGTCTCTCTCTCTTTCAATTTTATTACTAACATAAGGCAGCTGAACCTAATTAGATCCATATTGTATGTTCTGGGGCGCAGAGAGATTCTGAAATGTTTGAAATGAGGGGTTAACGGGGAGGTTCGGCTGGTTGGCGTTGTGAAGTGAGTTTCGTCCTGACCTGTTAGGTTTGTGGATTCAGTGGGTAGATCTCAGAATGGAATGGCCCCGGAAGACAAGCGGCCATATTTTTGCTTAGAAAGATCCCAGCATCTTAAAACAGCAGGAGAGAAATGATTTGTCAGTGTGCAGATTCTGCGAATGCATTGTACTCGTCCAATTGTGATCAGGAAGTTCTTTGGGTCTGTGTGGAAGTCTGACCTCAGGAGCTGGTGGGGATAAAAGGCTGTTGGGGACACGTGACGGTAGGGATTGTTTCCACTAAGAATAAGTTGTTTGTCTTCCAGCACATGGTCAGTTGCTGCACAGAATGGTCAGTGGTGGGCAGTTCTGCCGCTGGCCGCTCAGTCTCAGGACAGGCTGAGCTTGTACCCCAGCAAGCTGCCTCAGGGGGCAGGGAACAGGCTAAGGGGGGGGGGGGTGGTTGCGCTGCTTTTGGGGGAGCAGGGAGGGAGAGTTCCTGGGAAGCAAAAAGAAAGCTGTGCAAACTTGGAGACTACCCCCCCTCCACTTTTTAACACACCGGGGGAAAACGCTGACACAGCCTCTGGCCAGAACTGTCCATCAACCTTAGCGCGTATTTAGATTTAGACTTCACAGTCCATGGTCAGCTGCTGGTGGCGAGAGAACCAGGGGCGGTTTTTACGCCGTGACAGAAACACAACCGAGTATTCAACCTAATTTGGAAGGATTTACTTGAAATTAGAATAATTGTCAGCCAGGACAATTTCATTCACTCTATACAAGAACTCTGCTTTGTGGCTTCCTGTAATCTCAATTCTTACTATGATGATTCAGGGATAAACACATTTTTCCTTACAACTAAAACTTAAGGGAGGTGGGAAGGGGAGATGGCTCCCCGGGTAAGGAGAGCTTGGGGGCAAGCTTGACAATCTGAGCTTGAATCCTAGCACCCACACAGAAAGCTGGGGACGGTGGCCGCCAGGCAGCACCGTGGAGCACTGTGACAGTAGGACGGCTACTTCCTGCTTGAAACTAGCCGGAAGAGACTTTGTCTCCTCCAGCCTCAGTGAGAGACTTTGTCTCAAGGGTAAGATGAAGAGACATCTCTGCCACTGTCAACACCTGCACACACACAGAGATGCACACGCGCATACACACGCTGAACACACTTGCACATAGCTACACACATTTGTATACACATTGGACACATACATACATACGTATGTACATACACAGAAATAATTTGTATTTCTGGGGGTAATTTTTCTGAGACAGGGTATGACTGTGGAATCCTGGCTGGCCTCAAACTCAAATATCTGCCTGTCTCTGTTTCCTGAGGGGCAGAGATTAAAGGCAGGCACCAGCATACTCAGTGAGAAGTGGATGTGTGTGTGTGTGTGTTTAATGTCTGGGTTTTTGAAGCAAGGTTTGCTACGTAGCCTGAAACTCGCTACATTGCCCAGGCTGACCTTGAACTCAAGCTAATCATGCCTCGGCTTGTAGAGTGCTGGATTATGGACATACTCCCAGACTTGCTCTGTTTTAAAGATGGTCTGGGGCAGGGGTGTAGCTCAGTTGGTAGAGTACTTGCTTGGCATGCATGGGCCCTGAGCTCATCCCCCAGCGCTGCACCAACCAGCTGGGTAGCACCCTCCTATAATCCTCTAGCTGGAACAGAATTCTTCCAGCGTGGAAAAGGCTCCCTCTTGGTCCCAGGCTGGCTTGGGGTAAGCACGAGAATCGAGTGATATGGAATTCTCCCTGTGGGATACTCCCTTCGGGCAGCTGAAGACCCTGGAACTGAGGCTGACTTCCATGCCCTGTGCTTTCTATTTTCATAGCAATCCCGGAGAGTCATTGGAAAGTAGCAGAACCTATATCCAAGTCTGGGCCTTTTCTTTCCCAGCCTCAGCCTCCCCACTCCATCAACTCAATAGTCTCTGTTGTCTAAAAGGGGCTAAACCCATCCGTGTGTGTGTGTGTGTGTGTGTGTGTGTGTGTGTGTGTGTGTGTGTGAGTTGCTGGCCCTTCTGGTAGAAATAACTGTGGGACTAGCCATCCCTCCCTTCATACATCTTTCATGCTTCATGGCAATGACTCCAGATAGTTCCAGAACCTCCTGCTAGACCAACAGCTGTTAGCATTTGTGGCATCTGGAGGCGTCCTGCCCATGGCCAGGATGTCCAGGAAGTCCAGATGCAAACAGCCTGTATTTGCTTTGCCTCCCAATTTAGGGCTCAGGCTCTTGGGGCTGGGAGTTTTCTGCTCCCCGATACCATCAAGAGATTGGGGTCAATAGCACCTACTCCAGTCCTTACCCTTCTGGCCAGCCTTGTAAATGTAGTTTTTTCCCCCTTTTGTTTCCTTGCCCTTTGCTCTTTAAAAAATAATTCACATACTGTAACAGTCACCTTGCAAAGTGCTCCCACCAATGTGTTATGGCAAAGGTATACAGTTGTGTAACTAAAGATGAAACAGTTCCTGTACCCATCACTCGGCCTAACACCTGCTAAAGAATGTGCTGTCTTCCTTACCTATCCAGAAGGAGGGGACACAAACGGAACCTTTTGACGTTAGTGTCTTCCTCTTAGCATGAGACTTTTATTTACATGTGTGTGTCTGACTTTTGGTGTTTGGGGACAGGCTCTCTCTGTATGCTCCTGCCGTGGCTGAGAGCTTAGGTCTAATCCATTTGTTGCCTCCTCAGCCTCGTGAGGGTTAGGGTCATGGTCAGAGAACAATTTCAGGAAGTTGCCTTTGTGTGGGTTACCTTACTGAAAAGCTAGAGCACTTCTAAACCTGGAATCCAGGAACCCATTCCCGGATGCTGTGACTGCCACTGTCACTCTGTCTCAGTTTAAGATTTATTTTTCATATATGGGACTGTGTTTTGCCTACAAGTGCACCGCCCACATGCCTAGCACCCACAGAGCCAGAAGAGGGCATTGGATGCCCCTGGAACTCGAGTTACAGGTGGTCATGAGTTGCCAGGTGGTTGCTGGGTTCCTTGCTTGAGCAGCAGGTGCTATTAACCACTGAGCCATCTCCCTGGCCCTTGGTTCTGGTTTTATTGTTGTTTGTTTTATATCCCAGGCTGGCCGTGTATTTGAGGTCCTCCCCCCTTGGTCTGCTGAGTGCTGGAGCCACTGTATCTGTTCTAGATCACCACCCTTCTATAAAGCCACAGTCAACACTGCTGCCCGGAGAAAGAACAGTCTTTGTTCTTACGACACGAAGGGTTTGGGGCTTGTGGCTGCTGTGGAGAACTTTGTGAGAAGGCTGGCCTTGGAAGTAGGCTTCTCTGAAGCCAGGCTTCAGAGAAGAGTTGTTGTTCATTGCTTTTAGTTCCTGGGCTTCTGTCTGCACCCCTCCATGTCTGCCTGAGTTTACACAGCCTTCTTTCTGGTTTTTCTGTATTTCTCCTTCAGTAACGACCATATTAGTGCTCTCTCTTCCTCTCCCTTCTCCTCCCCTCCTCTGCTCTGCTAAGAATTGATTCCCAAGCCTTCCAAATGTTAGATGAGCATTCTACCACTGACTTCATCCCCAGCCCTATTAACAAAAAAAATAAAATAGAATAAAGACAAGCCCCAAGAGGGATGTGGGTGGAGTAACGTAGAGCCTGTGGCTGCCGGGGAAAACGTAGATCAGGAATCTGCAGCAGGTGTTGGTTCTGGGTCAAGTTCCAAGACACTTCTAATCTTCAGATTCCTAGGGGAACAGATGCTCATACAGTTGGAAAGAACGTTGTCTATTAAGGAACCATCCTCGCCAGGAAAAACAGTTTGTCTTTTTTTTCTTTTTCTTCCCTTCCCAAGTACAGAATGCTTAAGGCTAAAATAAAACCCCAGACAATTCCCCACACATACGTCTCCAGGAACACAATCCCATCCAACGCCGAGGGCTATTTCCTCACCTTTCACCTTTTAAACAGACATTTGTACGCAGCTGTGTGTTTGGAGTCTTGCTCCTTAGCACCGAAGGGAGGAGTCACCTGCAGAAGGTGACTGAGGACCGAACATTTAACCCTGAAGGTTCCATGATGCTGTGGAGTCCCTGCCCTCCAGCTCCTCAGGGCTGCAGCTTCCTGTAGAAGTCTACATCGTCTTCCAGGTTTCTTGCTTGTTTTCCCGTCTAGGGTGCTGTGTTTGGACGGGTCTTTCCAGAACATTCCCGTGGTTACCATCTCAGTCATGTTCCCAGCTTAGAGTGGGTGGGGACAGAGACTGGGGTCTCGGGAAGCAAGGCTCTAGGTTCCATCCCTGGCATCACAGTAAAACAAACCCAAAACTTCTGTGTTTCCCTTTTGAACTTTTCTTTTTAATCTTGAAGATAAAGAATACAACTTAAATAATAGCCATAGTCTTAAAAAAAAAAAAAAACAAGACCAAAAAAAAAAAAGAAAAAAGTCACTTCCTGTTAAAGTGTTTTAGTCTAATCAGCGTTTCTCTGTTGATCTGTTCCACCTGGCTTAGCACGGGGTAATTGAGTTAAAATTCTGATATAGCCAGAAAAGGGCAGCTGGTGTGGGCGTGGGTAGCCTGGCCTGTTGGAAGCTGTGATAGGCCATCCAGGCCAGGCTCCCATGGCTTCAGTCCAACCTGTGGGATGGCAACATGTCTTGGCTGAGAAGATAGGA